GATCATAATTAGCGGTGATCACGAGCTGGACAGACTTACCACCTGCTGGATAAGGACCAATTTGGGAAATCAAGTGGCGTTTAACCGCTCTACCGTTAAGCAGACGCGGTGGCCCTTGGCTGACCTCCTGGAAGGCGGCAGTGGGGAGACCGCACAGAAATTTGCAGAAGCAAATCCAGGGGGTGAAGGCTTGGTTACCCCGCCTCTGTCTTTCTCGGCCCCCACTGCTGTCCCAATTTCCACCCAGCTGCACCTTCCCTCTCCCACTTCTGGATGATCGCAACGCACCCTCCTAACACCCCTTGCCTCATTTTCTGCATCCTTCCTGAGTCCATCCATTTCACGCAGATTAGGACATCTCTGAAGGAGAGGGGTGCTATTTCTGCACCCCGCCTAGAGCTCCCAAGCAGGGGTACCGAGAGTCACATCGCTCTCGGTCGCTCACCCTCCAAAAGCAGGCTGTTCTACCATTTGCATCTCAACTATACGAGCAGGGTTCCTCCGGGTTGCAAAACTGAAAAGACCCGAACGAACGTCGGAACAGATCCTGGAATACTGCGCAGCCCTGTCCCCGACCCTGAGCGAGGATTTCCCTCCCGAGGAAGATGTAGGAAAACGGGTCATGTCAGAATTGGCAGAGGACGTTCCTGAATCAGGGTGTCACCGGGGCCAATCTTCTTACAAACAGCTGAGCTGGCAGGAGCCGGCGAGGAGCGCTGACGTTATTTCCCACGGATTAAACGGGGGCCAAGGTTTCTTATCGCGCTGCAGGTATTAATCAGATCCTCTGTGCAAGGGTCACACCCCATAACTCTTTTCGGAATGACCGCTATCTATAGATCCCCGTCTGTCTAAACAGATGGACCTTTCCTTGCTCTGGGGCAAAGATGCCTCCAAACGAGGGAATCCAGAAACGGGTTTGGGTTGGGGAGCAAAACAGACGCTCTGAAATTGGCAGATGTTGAAGACACCTTACCCCTCTCCCCCTAAAACATCCTGAACTTGGGCTCCTCAAACCCCTACGGCGTAGGCCAAAATTGCTCCCTCGCTGCGCCTCCCTACAGGTTCCAATCCCTAAAGATCAGCCCTAAAAAACAACAAATCAACTTTTAAAAAGGAAATGGGTCAGGCAGGTTTCTGCAAGGTGTGCTTGCTCTGCCTGTTTGCACACGTGCAAATATTCCCCCCCCACACACGCAAAGATGTTAGAGGATTCTTAACTCCGTGTTGCTAAATTTGATATGTCCTTTAAGAGGAGACAAATGGTTTGCAAAGCTTTAAAAGTATTGACTTTTCTTTAACAATAAGCACTAATGGCCTTCAGATAATCAATATTTCTAAGTCATTAGCAGGCACACATTGGGCCGTTAAAACCATGCACTGCATTTTAACCCCTTTGCTCCCACCCTCACAACACGACCCCCAGCAGGCTGTCCAAGAATAGACATTGGACACCAAAGACTACAGCGCCCATAACCCCCAACCAGGATGTTCATCTGGATGATGGGAGTTCAAGTCCCACACTAGAAGGGCATTAGGTTGAAGAGAGCTGGGCTGATGGCGTGGAAAACATCGGTTCCCTGTTCACACCAGCTTCCTCCCAAGGGGTTGTGACTCCCAGAATCCTCGGCTGCAGCTCCCAGAATTCCCCAGGTGGCTAGAAATCTTGGAAGCCGCAACTGCCTGACATCTGAGGAAGCTGAAATTCAGCGTTCAACATCCAGCTTTACTGAGCCACGCGAATAAATTCAGGGCCACGGTTCACGCGGCCTTCCTGCTAGGCTGGAACAGGATATGGGGGGATGTCGGGTTGGCATCTCCGAGACGGGCAAAGCCACACAGACCGTCGCCCGCTGTTTTCCATCCCAGGCGCCCGGTGCTCAGAAGCCAACGGAGGCTCAGCAATTTCCTTTTCTTAAAAAACGCAAGATTCGACCGAGCTCCGCGGCAAACCCGGGCCTTTCCGGCTTGCTCCCTGGAGACGCGGGCCCTCGTGGACCGTTCCCTGCCAAGGCACGCAGGATGGTGCCATCCGTCCCGTCCCGTCCTAGCCAGAAGTCTTTCTGCAGGCTCAATTATAAGCGGCTCTTCCCTTCCCTTCCCTCCCCGTCTCGCCTCTCTGCTGCCTCCAGCAAATGGCTGAATTCTTCAACAGCTAATTATTCTTCCTGCCACGATATCCTCCTTCGGCTGATCGAATCCCTGTGGAGTCCGACAGGAAGCTGAAATGGAATTTTAGCACCACGCCAAGCGGCTTCCACCCACCTCTCCCCGAGCCCCCCCATGTGCATTACCAGGGAAAGGGAGACGCCATAAATCTCCCTGCCGCGGGCTTTGTTCCAGCCAGAGACCTCGGGGCTGACTTCCCTCCTCCGGGCTGCGACGGGCCCGAAGAACAACACAGTTTTTCAAAAGGGCCGTGGAAGCGCCAGGGTGAACGGTCCTGCCCCGCGCGTTTCCCTCGGGCTGGAGAACAAGCCGTGGCACGGGGCCGAAGCAAAGTTCCTGGCGGCAGAGGTGGGGGGGCTCCAACCTTGGCAGGGTACCGATGGGGCCCCCCGCAGGGGGTGCAAACACACTCCCCAAGGACCAGCGGTTGGGGAATTCTGCACGCGGAGCTCCCCAAACCTGGAGGGCAATGCAATTGGGCAGGTCGCCCTATGGTGTCGGAACGGGGGGCAACTGGCTCAAATGAAAGCAAGCTGGCTCAGCGCTGGGCATTTCTGCTTCCCCCGCCGAGCAAAACTTTGGAACACGGCTGCTTCTTATTCCCGACGGAG